TTTCGGGAGAGACTCCTCCCGGAAGCGTTCATCAGAATCTGAAGAGCACCTGAACCAGTTTCGTCTGATGATGCACGTTCGCTTGGTTCATCCGAGTCCTAATCATACTCCAATCCAGTAGAAGTTATTGTCCTGGCGGAAATTGGAAGTGCCTCCCCCGGAGAACGTTCTCGTTCGAAGCTCCGATTGATTCCGATAGAATTTGGGAGCAACAAACCGAGAGTCACGAAAGTTAGGATCTGGGATATGATTCCACTGCTTGTTGTTTTGTTTCTTCAAAACAAACCAAAATGTAAACAATCCAGAAAATGAATTGTAAATTTTTCCGCCAGTATTTAATTCCTATATAAATAAATTGAAGTATTTTAGGCATTTATATTGTTCACAATTACAATAGTAACTATATCTCAGTACACAACATCCAAAACATGCGAAACGTTTCAAAAATACATGAAAATCGATAAAAATTTAATATCACAGTAATAAGCCTTTTTGTGAATCTTTAAATGGTTAGGCCCTTTTTGTTAAGCCGTTGTGCTTGTCATCATAAATTGTAGGCCCTTTGCTAAGCCTTTTCTTAACGTCAAATAAATCATCGGCCCTGCCTCAATCAGTAGGGCCTAGCTTTGATTTGAAATTTTTCAATCATCGGCCCTTCTACGTCGCTAGGCTTATGAATGGAAACTCATCGAACGAAAAAAAATATATGTTAGGCCCGAGGTTAGGCCGTTTTAGCATGAATGATAGGAAAAATTTCGTGGATCGGCCGTTTTAAAAATCAAGTTATTTTTAATGATTTTTATCGATAATGCGGAACATTCCTATACGACTGGTAGCTAATTACCAGTGCTACAGAATGGTATCAAAAATCGGTTTGTTTACATTTTGAGCATAGGCCCTATTCAAATGTTACGCGAGAAATCAGTCTGATGACACTCTCGGCACTGTCGGCACAGCTGCAGCACACTGATAAAAAAAAATTGGTGCATGTTGGTCTATGTTTAAAATATGTAGAAGTTATTCATGATTCAGAACCCTGAAAACAATTCACGTCTCAGGATTTATGTTGTTTTGATAAATGAACTATTGTGTTCAAATCGAGGGATGCGACACATCTAAATCTCGATTTTAAATGGTCGAAAAATCTCACACTAGCTAATCAATCTACGAAAAATCTTTTTTCATCTCTTGCATCTAAACCCATCTACTCGCATCGCTCTCCACCTTTTTACAGGAAATCTTCAAAATCATAATCAATCGTGTTTCTATCTATTAAGCGCGAGTGTATCTCACAACAGCCAAGCAAAAAATTTCCTGCATTTTAGATAGAGTCGCCCCCATCGGTTCAAATAGTAAAAGCGAATAAAAAGAAAGATAACGTTGGTTGATTTTAAAATGTTTTTGTAATTCTTGAGAAGGTTCCTTGGCGTACTATAATACGAGAATTATTTATTTAATTTTATAGCATTCATGCATTGGTTGACATACACGCTAAGATCAGATAACCCAAATATAGGTTTACTTTACCCAAATCAGGCGAAAACTGCATGAACTTAGATATAGGTAAATTTTTTAACCCAAATATGGGTAAATTTAAATCAAATTTGCATAAAAATAAATCATTTATGGTTCACAAGAACCCATATTTGGGTTAATAAATTTTACCCATATTTACGGCCAATTTCGGTAATCTCTTTGTACCGTCTAGGTAAACTGATCTTTGCGTGTAGAAAGCTCTCAATTAAAGGGTGGAACGGTCAAAAATTGGTCGACTCGGCGACTTGGCGATTTTTTTTATCGTGCATTTAAAAAACTTGAACACCCCTCATTTTGTAGGTCTGTTGCTTACGGAATGTTGCCTCGATTTTGATTTTGCCATTTTCCATTCAGTTGTCAAAATGGCGTCGAAGCAAGAGGAACAGCGTATCCAAATCCAAACTATTCCCACGCAGATTGATTGCGTTATAATGAACGATAAAATATACGTCAAGGCGGATTTCAAGCAGCTCTCAGGTCCAGAGTTTACACGGCTACCGGAAAAGGAAAGGTTCAAGATACGTTTAAGCAGAAAAAATCGTCAAAGTTCCCGAAAAAATACTTGCGATTTGTATTTCGTGACAACTGGCATTGTCAACCAAGATTAAAACACAGTTGTTCCGTGCTGTTTTGGCCATACCTCGCTTCCTGTCACTACGGGAAAATGGCTCAGGAACGTATATCGCCAACGACTTGCAAGTCGTACCCAAGGACAAAAACCCTCACCGGAGCTGCACCCAATTGAAAAATATTGGGCAATCGGTAAGCGGAACCTCAAGAAACTCAGAGCACAGTTGGAAATGAGAAACAGTTCAAAGCAAATCGACGTTCAGCATCAAATAAGGTTGATACAACAGCGGTACAAAATCTGATGGAAGGTGTGAAACGTGAAGCCCGACAGTTCGCATTTGGAAAATTGGAAGCCTAATCAAATAATTTTCCTGTATTTTGTAGTCTTTGAACTTCAAAAAGAAATAAAGTTTAATAATGTATACAATAACATAATCAGTGTGCACTTAATCATGATTGACCAATTTTTGACCGTTTCACCCTTTAAGAGCTCTGGAAGTGCTTCAAATAACACAAAGTTGAGAGCAGGCACAAGCTCGTATAACAGCGTCAATGTCAGTTAGACGCCATGTTGTGTTTGGAAGAGAAATCATTCCTCTTCCATTTGATATACATAGTTTGTTTGCGATTGAGCTTATACACTCCCGCGATCATAAGTTTGGAGTCACCCAAAACATTTTCAGGTTTTGTTTCGAGGGTGAGCCCAAATTATTGAATCGATGACTTGAATACGTATTTTCATGATTCAAATATTTTATAAATTTGTCCACCACAGTTTCTCAACTAGAATAAGAGTTCTTCCACCAATTTCATTTCAGTAATGATTACTCAGTGTACAATTCGAAAAACTTTATACACTCAATCTAGCTCGGTAAAATCTCCAACAGCCGATTACCTCGACATTTACTTCTGCTGATATCTCTGCAAAATGTCTATCTGTTAGCTGAGATCTCAGCAAAATTTTATGTGTTAGCTTAGTCTCGGCAATTGTTTTACCGAATCTCAGCCAAATAAATTGCAGAACTACTCGGCTCTTGGAATCTCGGCGAAAACATTTAAGTGTGTAGGTGAACTCTCAAAAATAAATTAAACCATGTATGTACGAAGCATGTTTCATTCAATACTTTTCATATGACATAAGGAGAACGAAAATTTGACGTAAAATGACAGAGATATGAGCAAAACACATTTCAAGAACCACATGTAAAAATGATCATCGGGAAGGGGAAAGTTTTTCCTACCGGGTGATGTTGATGGTTTGCGTGGGTGCCATATGGGTAGCGAGAAAAGGGCATATGCCCTTTTCACATGTTGTTCTTGATTTGTAACTTTTTTTTTTGGTGACCCAAACGTATGACTGGAAGTGTATCCGTACGCCCTAATCCCGAAACAGTCTAGAAGTGTGCTCCGGAAGAAGTTTCCAAGAGGGTGAAATCTGGATAGTTTGTCAAGGCCGTATAAGAATTTTAAAGGCGATTTAAGATTAAAAAAATAGGTAGGGGCAGGAGGGGCATAGTGAGCATTCCGCACTTTGGCTCTGGATCTCCAGCTGCATGAAACAAATCAACTGGTGGTAGGTTCAATATCATTATGATATTGAACCTACCACCAACCAATTTGTTCCGAACGGCTGGAAGACCAAGCTGGGGCATAGGATACTCACTATGCCCCTCTTACCCCTTTAAGCTTCGGTTAAGATGATGTTTAGGTAGAATTGAAGAATCCCAGAAATAGTACAAAGGAAGTTTGGAGGACCTCTAGTGGAAGTTTGAGAGATCTAGTAAGGTAATTTGGGTCTCCATCGAAAGTTCCAAGGGCTTCTAGCGATCAAATCATTACGGGCTTCAAGAAAATCATCAGATTTGCTTGCTGAAGAAATGTTGAATGGGTTCTTTGGTTAAATCAATCTCCGGAAAAATTATGTGATCTAATAACAAATATAATAGAATGAAAATATTCAAAGTTTAGGAAAACAAACGACTTGAAATGTTGTCAGCCTTCAGTATTCCGAATCGCTTCTAAACCAACACCGTGAACGCTGCTGCAACCGGCTCTCTCTAGTCGAGTCGATGCTAATCGTTATCATCTGCATCCATCTCACGTGCGTTTACAATAGAAATATTTGCATAGGCAGATTCCGTCAGAATGCCTTTGTTGTGTGGAGCCGGTAGATTAGGTACACACCCCCAGACCAACACACACGAACAGTCTCTTTGTTCCATACCGTTTCCTGACTTCATGCAGTCGTCGACACTAGGAGCGACAAAAGTTCAATGTCATCTAGCAAACTGCACTTTATGACGGATGCATCAGCGTCATTTTTATCGAACCGGCATTGTCTGTCCACGACGACCGACGCTCCTTTCCATTTCGTTGCTTATTAGATGCGTCAACTGACTCTAGTTGAAACTTGGTAGCAATCACACCGCTTAGTACCGGTTCGTTGACTACAGGCGGCTAACCTATCATACTCACAAATTCCCCGGTTCTATTTTTAAATCTACTATACAACAACGCAATGCATTCACATTCTATCGATTAGAATTTTGTAATATGTCGGTACCTACATCCAACGTGTCTATTATAAACAACCCTCGCAGCGTGCCATAACCGGTTTCATAAAAAAAGCAGCATTATTAAATGTTTTGCGCAGCGCATTGAAAGCAAAACAACATCCCAGCGCTGATTTTATAGCTTGTAGCGACCTTTTGTTGTTGTTGTTGTAGAAAGATCATTCCCAAAGTATATGAGACGTTCGCGGAAGTCTAACTTTTCAAAGCATAAACAGGTGTCGGACTCGATTGCATCATCCCAAAATCACCCTAACCTATATTACGGGGCATGTTCCAATTTGGGAAGGGGAGATTCGAAAACAACAGAGAGATGGCACTTACCTCGAGGGCAAATCTTTGATGACGACATCGCTGAGGAAGCCGGCACGCTGGCAGCGCTGCACGAACCTATCCAGTATGGAGTAGGCCAACGGAATGTCCAACACGATGTCGGTCATGTCCTCGTACACCCGGCGGAAGCCCTGCTCCATCTGCTCCGGAGTGATGATACAAGTGTCGTCCAGCGACTTCAAGAGAGCGCAGATCGCTTCCTCGGTTTGCTCGTTGAGCGCTTCGAGTGTCATAACGATGGCCTGGCAAGGGACGATAGAACTTGGATTAGTTTTGACTGAATTTTAAACGGCGCTTGCGGACAATCGTACCTCGTAAACCAACTCATGGTGGAAGTGCACCACCTCGAGTTCCTTGATCGAGCGTTGCGCTTCCTCGAGATCACGCGACAGGAGATACTCCTTCAGCAGTATGGCCATCTGCCGGGTGAGGGTCTGCACCGGCCGCAGTGCACCGCCGACGCCCCAGACGTCGTCCAGATGGCCCCAGCCCTGGTGCAGCGACAGCAGCGAACAGGCCCGGATTAGGGCTTCCCGCGCCTGCGGGGACAACTCTTCCCGATCTATGTCGTAAGCGTACTTTGGTGGGACACAATCGTCCGCGACGGCACGGGCGATGAAGTTGCCGAGGATGTGCGGGGCCTCCGGCGTGTCCAGGATGAGGTCCGGCATGTTGTACAGCAGCACGTCGAAACCTGGTAGGAAGAGCGTGAGTTAGATTGGCAAAGCGGTTCCACAGATTGAGGAAATGTCATTAGACATTGCGAACAGTTCAGTCTCTCGGTTGAGATTGAGCGATAAGAGATTTAGAGAATTTAGGTTAAGATTGAGGGAATCTCTGTTGAGATTGGGAGAGGCTCACAATCGGGATGGAAAACAATTTCAGTCGAGGTTGAGAGAATCTCTGTTGAGGTTTAGCGAATCTCTGATAGTGAATCTCAATCTGAGTCGACATTAAGAGAGAACTCAGTCGAGATTGAAAGAGAATCTCAGTCGAGATTGAGAAAGAATCTCATTCTAGATTGAGAGAGAATCTCAGTCAAGATTCATAGAGAATCTCAGTCAATCAGCGAATTTCGGTCAAGGTACAGAGAGAATCTCAGTCGAGATTGATAGCCAATTCGTTTATTATTAAGTTCCAACCTGGATCGGGAATCAAGATTGGGTCTGCCTGTTTTTTGAAAAACGTCAGTTTGTTCGTTTGTTTTTGTTCGAACTGACAAAAAAGTTCCGTTTCGCACTGTGTTGGAACTGGTTTCAACCCCGATAAAAAACGAATTAGCTATGAGAAAGAATCTGTGAAGAAGAAAAGAAAAGTGAGAGAGAATCTCAGCCGATGTTGGGAGAGAATCTCAGTCGAGATAAAGAAAGAATCTCAGTGGATGTTGGGAGAGAATCTCTTAAAAGAGACTCAATGGCGAGATTAAGAAAGAATCTCTGTCTAGATTCAAAAAGAATCTCATTCGAGATTTAGAGATCTAATTCGAGATTTAGAGATCTAATTCGAGATTTATAGATCTAATTCAAGAGAATCTTAGCCTCAGCCGAGTTTCAGGTTCACACTGAATTGTTCGACTCACTGGGTTGGAACTGCTTTCAACCCCGATAAAAAAAAACGAATTCGCTATGAGACAAAATATCAGTCGATATTTTGATTTTGGTAGAAGGGGGTCTTATGAAGGCCAGATTTCAAGAGACAAAATCTTAGTCATTGGGAGAGAATCTCAGTCGATATTGGGAAACAATCTCAGTCGAGATTTAGACAGAATCTCAGCCTCACACCGTCAAAAAGTATGAGCAAGAATTTCAGTCGAGAGTGAGAGAGAAGCTCAGTCGATATTGAGAGATAATCTCACTCGAAATTCAGAGATAATCACAGCCTCAGTAGATATTGAGAGATAATCTCACTTGAAATTCACAGAGAATCACAGTCTCAGATTTAGAGAATCTCAGTGGCGTCCCGTAACCTCACTTTTAACCTGTGCACCAACTTTCAAAACCAGATTTAATGCCATATTCATACTCGAGTCGGTTGAAAAATTCACTTAATCTTCTAATTTACTCGATATCTCTGGAGAACTTTGAGATTTGGACGTAATTGATTTTGTAAACAAACACGTCAATCGCCGATTTCTCGTGAATAAAAGAACAATCTCGCAAACAAACTATACCAAATGATAGAGGAATCATTCCTCTACCTGTTTGTGTTGTTAGTTTTTGAGATTGAGCTTTAATTCGCGAGAAATTGGCAAATGACGTGTTTGTTTACAAAAGCAATTACGCCCTAATCTCGAAGTTCTGCAAGCAATATTTTGATAATTGTTTGTGTTTTGAAAGTTGGTGCACAGGTAGATTGAGGTTAAGGAAACGCTACTAGAGAATCCGTCAAGAAATTCAGCAAATCTCTGTTGAGATTCAGATAGAAACTCAGTCGAGATTCAGGGAGAATCTCTGGCGAGTTTCACTGAGAATCTCAGTTGCGATTTTCGCAATCTTTCGAGATTCCCAGAAAGCAATATTTCAACATTCGAGCAGTTCCACGCCAAATGACGAATCGGAAAAACTCGACCTTCTCCGATTTGCAAGAAGCTTAGCATAATTGTTTGCTATGGGCAATGATTCACATTTATGTTAAAATTTGGCCATTTTGGATCTTGTATTTTTTTTCCAAGATGGCGTCTTTAAAATTAAAAAAAAAAATAGCACGGAAACGATACTTTTGATCAGCATGACGTCTGAGACTATGTTGTAGAGAAAAATAATGTTTCTTTTTTGGGAAAAATATACAAAAAAAGTTTTTTGGTAATTTCAAGAAAAAATTAAAAAAATGTTATAATCCTACATATCTCAAAATGTCATTATAAGATTTTTGATTTTTTTAAATCTCATGAAAAATGCATTCATTTGAAATGTTTAAAGTTATGGACACTTAAATATTGACAAAAATCATAGAACAAGAACTTCTCGTCAAATTTTTTACCTTTTTGTTAAACCGTTTTTTGTGTAATTTACACTCGGAAAACAATGTTTGAGAAATTTTAAATCATTTTCTGTGAAAACACAAAAAAGCGTACTAACAAAAAGTTCAAAAATTTGATCAAAAGTGCTTGTTCTACGATTTTTAATTTTTCAGTTGAAGTAACTTTTTAAACCTTAAACTAAATTTTCTTAGAAAATATCAGATCAGTAAGCATTTTTAATAAGCTTCTTAATGAAAAACATTCAAAACATTTTGGAAAGGGTCACCTTTTGTTATCTTTTTTTCACTATTTTATATTTTTAAACAAATCTTAGAAGGACCAATTTTTGTCTTACAACTTTGTCTCGGACGTAATTTCGATTAGAATTTACCTTACCGTATTGGAGGCGAACCAGCCCAAGGCTGAAAGCCTCCTTAATAAAGCTAAATAATAATAATTAGAATTTACCTGAGTGGTGCGGAGTCGATCACTTTCAATTTTCAAGTTACTTTGCTTGAAAATTATTGATTTTCTTGCCTTTGTTTACATCCTCTCAACACCGCTCACAAATTGGCACCATTTTTCCACAACAAAAATGAGAACTCGTTCGTGACTTTCTCAGTATTTGTTTACAATTGTTTGATTGAGCCAATATTTTGTAAGGGTCGGAATAAGCTGTAAAATGGTTATCAAGTAAGAAACTGATCAATATCAAGTCAAACGATCGAATATGCTTTCGCTGTTTTCCCTCAGACCCGTTTATTTTGATCTTTCATTGGTATGGTATTGGAATGAATAAATGTTGCCAGCCTTTAAGATACACTTGTTTTACAACTTTACAATTTAGTAAGCCTTGGTGTTGGTCCTGATCGTTGGATCTGTTTTCGACAACCATTTCGAGTGATTCCGCACCACTCAGGAATAAGCCATTTTGAAAATGTTGGCAAGATTCAAGAAGGTCGTGTCTAATCGATTCGTCATAACATGGCGTGGAACTATGCTTATACTTTCATTTGAAATTAGAAAAGTTTCAGCGCAAAAATTTTAAATTTCACTTGAACTTTGAAACTTTCAATTGAAATTTTACAAATTTCAGTTGATGTTTTCCAATCTTCAGATATCTTAATTTCAACTCAAAAGCTCTCGTTTATTCCCGCTTCTCCACAAGCGTTGAAGAGAGAGCCCCGAATGGGAACCAAAACAAACCCACCGTTGTCAAAGTTTCGTGCCGTGCATTTTTTTTTCACTCGAAATCGTCAAACGACAGCAGTCAGCCAGGAAGGTAGCCTCCACATGTGCGGCTATTTTGGTCGCACAATTTCAAAACAACCCTACCCTTATCGTCAACTAAGCGTTACCCGATCGTCTTGCAATGGACTGATAAGGTTTTCTCGCGAGGCTAATTAATCAACCACGAACGAGCATGAGATAGCCAACAGGTAAGATTGTGTCGTCTACACATGCACTGAAGTGACCCAATTAATTAAAGAAACAAAAAGACAGTTGAAATCCTAAATTCTCCAAGTCCAAGCTACATCTTACCGCTGCAAATATCCTTGTTGGTGACGGTGCGACCGTACAGGTCGGACAGCAGCACCGAGGTCATCTCCCGCTGGGACTGCTTGTGCTCGAAGGCCATCTCGACGGCTATCTTCGAAATCATTGGCCTCCGCTCGGGCGTGATAAACTCGTCCAAACTTTGTGCCACCTCGTGCGTGTCCCCGTGCTCGTAATACTCCAGGAAGATGGGTTCGACCTTCTTCTGGAACTCTTCGTCCGTCATCTCCGGGACGACTTCCTTCAGTTCGATATTGTGGCGACAGTTGTACGCGTCCAGATCGAAGTTGGGATCGTTCTGATCCTCCTCGTCGGCTTCCTGATAAATTTCCGATCCAGGCTTGCCCCAGACGCCCTTACCACCGGCTCCGCCCTTCTTTGGAAGTCCACGACCATAGCCGTTGTGCGATCGTCGACTGTTCTTCCATTTTCTGTGTGGGGCAACAAAGTTGGGAGTTCCGGCGACTCCCAGCACACCGTCCTTACTATTCGATCGGGACAACTTGCGGACCCGTTTCTTCAGCCGCTCGTCCAGTATGGGAAGCGGCTTCTTCATCAGGCCATCACTGCCAGGCGATCCGACAGGGACGGTCTGCGGACTTCCGACCGGACTCAACGAGTCCTCATGATGGTGTCCATTGATCTTCTCCGGGATACCATTCAGAACCGAGTGGTCTCCGTTCAGTGGCTTTTCGATTTCCATCTCGCCTCGATTCGTCCGTTTGCTGGGCACGTAAGTCTCACGCACACACTTCGGATGATTCCTACTTTCGCTCTCTCACCGTCAACAGTCTTGATCTATTTTCGGATACTGGCCCCGAGTCGCGCACGGCTGGTCGGTTGAATAATCCACCGTTTTCCTCACGCCGTATCAAACTACACGCATTTGCTATCGAAAACGGAAAATTCCTCAGCTATTCACCGGTGAAAAAACAAAATGTCCTCCGGCCTTGAAGAGCAAAGGCCGGCTGCCGATTGTTCCGAACAGCTTTTCCTGCAACACTAAACGCTTCGCTACTCCTCAGCTGATCCTCCCTCGGTAGTCTTTCCAGAAAACTTTCCTTATCTTTGCTAGTCTTTAATTAAAATTCAATATTCCACTTCACGCTGACCACCGGTTAACTAGTAATTGACCGAAAAAAAAAGAAGTTCCACCGTCTGATTCTCGAAATCCGATCAAGGGAAAAATACTGCGTAATACCACCACACACGTTTCTTCGTTCCCTTCCTTTCACGCCTTCACTGCTGCCTGGTGCGAGCAATCACCGAAAAAAAAGCAACAAAACACTCCCCGCTCACCAAGTAACCAACTTCGATACACAAGAGCAATAAAGAAAGAAGATATACACAGTGATACGCAAAAAAGAAGAGCTGCACTTCTGCCTCCCTTTTCCTCTCAAACACTACACTACTCGCGACTCAAAACACGCAGCAGAGAAGAATATAATCCCAACAAGACTTGATTCGAAAAACACGTCCAACTCGCTCGACTGTGGCCGATGGATTGAATCGAAATCGAAGCTGGCTGGCTCTGCAAAGGATATTATGCTGCTGCTGCTGCGTCGCCGGAAGAGACGTCCACACGCACACCACCAACATGGGAAGCACCTAGATACCAACACACTTGCAACTAACCTGTGCCAGTGTGCGAAGCTTCCGTACATTGTATGCAGTTTTTTAACATTGTTGTTTGGTTTGTAAAACGCACACTATCAATAGCGTGCTGGAACGGACGGATGTGTGTGTCGTGTGATCGCTCTTTTTGTTCCTTCCCCTCTTCGGTATTATGATATTATGAGCTTGTGTTTTGATTATTCCATTCTCAACACAAACAAAGAAAATTGCGACCGGATCTCTACGTGCTCAAGCAACATGGAGCCGGCAGAGACTATTGAGACGAAATTCAATAATCTACCGCAGAAAATGACGCAATATTTGATTGTTTACGTTCAAGACGCTTCAAAATCCAATCGACAGCGCAAAAAAAAAACCCCTAGTGTAGTTTGTTCAGTCGACCTTATCAACCCTAATCAGGTCCCCTCCCATCAATCTAATGGCCGTATAAAATAATCAACAATATTACACAATACGCAAGCGAAAGTGACGATAGGCGGTACCGGAAAAACTGCGCGTTGACCTTGAAAGTGCTACATGAGCGAAAAAGCAAAACAAACCAAGCCGAAACCGAACCATCCGGATATTTCCAGGTTTTGCTTGCGGCCGGTATGGGGTGGCACTTTCCTTCCTGCCTTCCTCCCTTCTCTTTCCACCCCTCGCCCAACATCATATCACCATCATCACCCGGGGAGACGATTGGCAACATACACACCAACACATAAACGATGCATTTTAGAGCTTTTACGATGGTATTGGTCTCAAGAAGAAGTCGGGTCGGGAGTCATACTCTCATGAATGATGATGGATTAGTGTGGAAATAAGGGCATCTCCATCGTTATTTGGGAAAACTCTAGAATGTTCTACACGGCCAATGAGAGTAGCTCAGTTGCTGAGCCGAATTCGACTCAACAGTGCAAAAACTCTCGATTTTCCAGGAAAAACTTCTTCAATATGACGAAAGTCGAGATATATTTCACTCTGACCTAGACTGAGTAAAATGTTCGTTAATTTTCCTAGTATTCAATCAGTTTTTCCTGGAAAATCGATAAAAAATTCAATTCAATCTGATTTATTGTGGTTTATAACGGCAGTAAAGCATATTTTTAGTTTAAATGCAGCATTTCATAGTGCAAAACATTCATGGATAGTAGTTAAGCTTTTGCTGGGAACAGTTCCAGGCCAAACAGCAAAAAAAAAATATTTGAATTTTTAACTCTCCGATTTCTTGTGCATTAAACCTTCCAAAATTATTTGTTATGGGCAATTATTGACATTTTCGAGATTTCGGCGTAATTGCTTTTGTAAACAAACACGTCCATCGCCGATTTCTCGGAAATCATTCTTATTATACTTCAACAAGTTCTTTGTATAATTTTAACCTATTTTTTTGGAAATACCAACGCGTTTTAATACAATACGGCTATTTAAGTACAAATACCTAAAAATAAACGAGGAGATTTTTTTTATGTTCTACAACGTCCAAATTATCCTGGAGTTCAGATACAATGATCTACCAGATCAACCATGACTTATACCCTTAGTAACGAACCATCATTGTTTGGCGTTGTTTCATATAGATAATGCACTTCATTTATACTTCAAATTCCATGTGTATAAGATGTACTAGGTTCTTCAAATTGTCCAGGAGTTCAGGAAACGAAACGACACCACATTTATTAAAGTTGCTTTACCACGCTAGGGTAATTCGTGACTTGTCCGGGATGAGATTTGAACTAGTGATTCTGGCGTGAGAGGTTAACCACTATGCCGGGGTCGTCCCCAACTCTAGGATAACTTGGAGAACCTTGAGCTTCTCATGTACATCAAAATATATTGATTAGACATGTGTCGTCAGTGGGGGCTACGTGCAGACTTTGAGTGATACAGTAAATCCAATAGGAGGTCAATTTGGAGAAACTAGAACACCTTATGTACATGGAATTGAAACGTAAATGATGTGCCTAATCTCAATGAACCTGTTTGAAGTTGTTTCGTAAGTAAGGGCAATGTCTTTGTTGATCTGGTAGTTCATTTTACCAGAACTTCAGGAAATGCACATACACTCTATGGACATGTTTGGGTAGGTGAGGACATCGCACAGGCCTTGGTTGATCCAATTAGATCAAATCCGGTGAACTTCGAGATTAGGTGTTGCAGGTTGGGCGCCAGTGTTGCAGATTTCCTCAGTCGGCAGAGCTGAGCTACCATAGGACACACAAAACAGAACACTAATGGGCAAGTGCACCAACAAAACAAAATCGGGCCGAATGTTAGTTTAGCATTGTTTTATTCGCACCCAATCTCCCACATTCCTTCTCCTAATTCACGCTTGCTGCCACCTTCCGCTCCCTATCCCTCTTCCTTTTTCTCTACTAATTTCCTAGCTTATCGATATTACTCACATACATATCTTCTGCTTCTCGGTGCGGGGCACCATCTTCGTTGCCGTACACATGACACACAGCACCGCACCGTTCTCTTGCCTTGATCTATTCTCGACGACTCCGATGATGGCCTATCGCCGAAACAGCTCCGAAGTGGATCTCACACGACACGCCAATGTCGCGGGACTAAGACCCAGTGGCACAATCCACAAATCAGCTCCAATTGGGTCTCGCACGACACGCCACTTGTAACCCTTCTGTTACAAAGGTTCAATACAATATTTTAAATATGCACCATGTGATCGAGCATTCAAATAAATTTGTGTAACACTTGCGGTGAAACCCACTGGGCAGACGATACGGCCATGCTTAACGGCCGACTGCTGAATAAGGCACGCATGGCCGCGGCAAAATGGTGACACGGAGTCACGGGTGATGAGCTGAAGGGTTCTGCGATGCTTAGAGAACGGCCATCTTTCACTTTATCTCAGGCGAGCGTGTAGACCAGAAGTGTCTGTGGAATACATTTTAACAGAATACAGTGCGAGTAGTGAATCAAGGTGAACTGTAAATCACCAATTCAGCTGATTCAGGACCTTTCTTTTCAACCAATCAAATGGTTTTCTGGTTGGCGAGACCGCCATTGCACGCTACGGTCTAGGTGACATTTAGTTACCTTGACCTAACCGTAAAGGACATCGTTCTCGGGCTGAAGGCCCTAAACACCCTTCCCGGTTCGACAGAGGGCGGCCTTGCCGTCGTCGACCGGCTTCGTCAGAAGGAAGCGCCTGTGCATCGGAGCCATCTCCACAAACCGCTATACCAGCCCCGGTAAAACCAACCCGCCATCGCACTACAGTCGACGTTCGGTCAGCCTCGCTTCGTCCGCCATTGTCGGAATTGTACCGGAATTTCCCCAAGCGGTGGTACCGCCATCTTGCCGACAAGATCGGCCTTTAACGATCTTTCCGGAACCACAGCGAGCGCTCGCTGGTCTGCAGGCGTCGTAGTCACCATCGTCATCAAGGGTATGTGCCAAGAAAATCGAACACAACACCACACAATCCACACTATCGGTAGTGCGCCGACTCTGAGACACAGTTCAAGGAGTCTCTTGCTGCTGAGTTGTTGTCGGGCAGAACATTAGTTTCACACTGTCGCGGGACTAACACCCTGTAGACGCTTTTCCCACGCGATCCGCAAAACACAGCTCCAAAGTGGGTTTCGCACGACACGCCACCGTCGCGGGACTAAGACCCTGAAAGCACTCGCCTGGTATTGGTGCTTTGTTCAAGCCAAGGTAGAAAAAAGAACCCTCCGTGGAGGGCCTCTTTCGCTCTGAATCCGGTCTGGTCCTCGCTTCTCTGCGTCAGCAATTGGCTCTTATAATTTGAAGACAGCAGCCACTGAGCAGTTGCTGTATTAGTGCTACGTCTGAACGGTAATTAGCAGATCACAGATCGCCGGATTGTTTGCTTTTCCGATTTGCTGCAACTTTCCTCCCGGGATGCGTTTTCGCCGTGCCGGACGAACGTTGCTGGACAACCACACTGACGCCGTTCAGGTGGAATTCTTCTCACCGTGCAAAATGTCACTGGGCAAACGTGCAAAATGTCGACGAATCAAATGCGGATTGGCAATGGCACTCCCGTCGTAGAGAATCGAGAGACCGCACTTCTCCACCGAACAATTTAACGCCACGCGCTTCTTTCAACCAGCCAATTTGGTATTTGGTTAACTGCGCTCGGTGCGAGCGACTCACTCACCGACGAACAATTACCTTCTGCTGACCGGAAATCTTCCTGCTGTTGATGTGCGTGAGGGATTTCATCCACCAAGCAAATTCCTAGTATGTGCGACGTTTTCCAGCGGGTGTGTGTCATGACAGCCCTGTTCTTCTCTCACTTGTGTTTACGCGTGAAATATTTCGATTACAGTTGGTTCGACTTAATCCGAACTCGAAATGATTCGCTTCCAACAAACGTATACGTAACATAGGGCGTATTTGCTTTTGGAAACAAACACTTCATTCGACGATTTATCGCAAATTAAAGTTCAATCTCATAAACTAGAAACACAAACAGGTAGAAGAATGGTTCCTCTATCATTTGGTATAGTCTGTTCACGAGATTGTTCTTTTATTCGCGAGAAATCAGCGATTGCATGTTTGTTTACAAAAGCAATGACGCCCAAATCTCAAAGTTCTCCGGAGATAGGCTGAACTCCTGGACAATTTGGAGTACTTAGAACTTGTGGTTGCAAGTAAATTCATCTAGAATTGTCAAAATGGGTTGCTAAAAACATCCTCGCTGTCCAGATTAAAGTCAGTGTTCGTTCGAGTGTTCGTTAACATAATAACATCATAAGGCCTTTGAGTTTGGTAATGTACTGGTGTTTTATATTTTTCCTGTATAGTAGACACCCACAACTACAAAAGCTGAGCACGTTCCTTAGAGACCTTCTCGTTTTAG